TAGAAGGAGTATCTGACTATAGGGCATGCATTAAACTTGTGAACAAAGTCAAAATAAAATATGCCATCTAAAAATTAAAACTAGACAAAAATCAGCCCTGATAGTCATCTATGAATTTGCTTTATTGCTTCAGAATTTGATATTCAAAATATTTTTTGTAATTAGAACCAGTTTAATTGTATACCGTATGAAAAGGTACGTTTTTTACACCTGCTTGCATGTAAAGTCACCTGATGCTTCTAATTTCTTTTTAAGCGTACAATTGGAAATTCTGATAAGATATTGGGGGGGGGAAATTTACCCTGAAGGTGGTCAAATACTGGAACAGGTTGCCCAGAGATGTTGTAGAGTGTCCATTCTTCGAGTTATTCAGATCTCACTGAAGCCCTAAGCAAACTGATCTAACCTGCTTTGAGCAGAGGATTGGACTAGAGAACCTCTGGAGGCCCCTTTCAATTGAAATTATTATAAATAATTCGATATTCTAAATATCATATAGATATTGATTGAGTATTAATAAAAGTTTTGTCACAAGTCCTCAGTCAGCTATGATATTAGCGACTTTTGATGTTAAATAATTACCTCTTTTTAACTTAAAAGCAGTATAACCAAGTGATGATTGCTAATATTTAGGCAATTGCTAATTTTTAGGTTACTTGTTGTTGGAATTAAATCTAGTTTTGAGTTATTTGTGTTTCATACAGGGATTGTGATAAAACTATTGTTTTTAATAAGCATTTGGACGTTTTGATATTAGTTGCATGAAATGTTTGACAGGTGTTCCGTAGGCTGAACATGTGGGATAGCAACTTTTCTTCTAGCCCGTCTTAGATGGATTTTTAAGTCTGTCGTGTTCAGCAAGATTTGGTTGCTTCTACCTGGTACCTTTCAGCAAATCAATAATTAGTTTTTAATCTATAAACCTTCAAGTAACTAATTTGGGGTAGTTTGCGACTGTAGCAGGTAGCAATGCTTTTTGATATGCTTATGGTGTTGTCTTTGCCTTTCTGTCATTAAAGAGCCAATCACAGTTTTCTGTATTTGTCCTGTGATTACTCTCACCATTCGTTTCTTTCTAAATTGTGAATGTTACCGACTCATAGTTTGTTAAAGTTTGTCCTGTTAAAATCATTCTCCTTTTGAGTTACTTTTAAGTCCTCTTAACACCCTACTCATCAGTGATCTTGGACGCTATCTACTTCATGCTCTCATGGAGCTTCTGGGAAAAATAACTCAAAAGGTTCAGAGACAGTTTTCTAACTTAAAACATGTAAGGGGTAGAAGAAAGCTAAAGCTGTGCTTATTATTTCACAGAATTTCTGGAAGAACAGCTCTCCACTGAAAATATGGCATGCAGTAGCTGCTAAAACTGTAGTCATACTTTAATCTTGCTGGTAGATTCTGGTTTTGTGTAAGTTCAGATTTTATATCTATATCTCTATATATCTCTATAAAATATAGATATCCATATATATATATAGATATAGATGTAGATGTATCAGATTTTTGCATGTAGCCTACTGCTTTGATTCTTTACTTTTTTTCTTCGTGAAGTTTGTTCCTGCCTTCAATGGAGGCTTCCTTATTTATGCGCCAGTTCTTGAAGCAAGTATACCGAATTTGCAAAATTTCAGTGAGAAACAACACTTATTCATCTCTGCAAATTTCCAGGACATATATGGTTTTGTTATACTTTAGTTTATACTATGCATCCTTTGAGTTAGATACTGAGTTCTTTATAGTCGTGTAGCTTTTTAACTTTTTTTTTTTTAATAGAACCTGTATTTTTGATCTTTGAAAAGTTTCCAACACTTTGAAGTGGATTGTTTGAAATGCAGAGACTTAAAGCCAAAATTATCCGCGTACTACATTTGACAGCTTTATTAATATATTTTGACTAGTTTTACTCTAGTTCTGTTATTGAAAGATGTAGCCGTAACAGTTTTATCCTGGAGAGCGCAATTGGGTAAGAAATTTCTTACTTCAGCAAATAATTGCTATTCATAGTCTTTTGATCAAAAATAATGCCACGTCTGTTAGTCCACACTGTTTTGTCCTTTGAAACGACTGATGTACTTTTTATGCCTGTGAAAAAAGAACCTACTAATATGTGTTGCAGTATCATGGCAGTGCCAGCAGCATGCCTGTGGTGTTAAGGTAAATCTTCTAACTGTGACTATTGGCCTTATTTTCTTCTATCCGGTACATTATGCCTAGTAACTTGTAATATGTGTCAATCTGGTGATGTTCAGATCTGTGTTCATGTTGAAATCCTCACCGGAAGGTGGCATCTGGGTTCATGGCTTTTTAAAAGACCATTTAGTAAACTGCACGTATTTAGATCTGTTACCATTAGCGATTGAGTCATTTTCTTGTATTTTCCTTGGGGTTACGTCGGACCATTAATTAGTACTGAACTAAACTGTTTCAGTTTAAAAAAAAAAAAAGCTAAATAAAAATATTTATTGAATTTTTTTAAACAGAAGATTTTTGTTTTGAAGCGGTCACTGACTGACGTTCTGAAGTCACGCTGCTAGTTAACCACGTAATTCTAGTGGTTTTTACGGCCTGAGCCTGGTGCAGTCATTTCTCTGTGTACTTCTTTCTTAATCTGTGGTACAACTGCACAGTCGTGCCATTTCTTAGTTCTTAACAGCTCCTTTGAGAAGATCTACTAGGTAAATATAGTTTGATTTCTGTGGATAAATAATATTATATGAAGCTTCTAAAGTGATTTTTTGCTTGACTGTGCTTTTCTGTAATATATACTATCCTTTGAATGTATTGCTAATCGTCTTTTTAACATATCTAGTCATAAGGAGGGGGATAGACAGCTCAATGTAGCGAAGCCACGTGAGTGTAGTACAGGTGACATTTCTTTCTCTTAAGTTCGTTGTGATTTCAATAGAAAACGGTGAAACCTTATTAGGAGCAATTGTGGCAGCTTGAGTTTTAGATAGTAGAGCTGTTCACTAGGATTTTTAAACGTTTATGCGTTTGTCTTCAGGCACCCAAAGTAAAGCAATTAATGTCAGTCAGGAATTGCTCTACTTTCATCATTTGCGGTATAGCTTTCTTTTTTTATTTCACGCAGTAAACACCGTTTTGACTTTCTGAAACAAATTAATCGAATGTGCTAAGTGAAGAATATAACTTCCTTATGCCTTCTCACTTGTAAATTTGGTTTTCTTTCTTATAACTACTGAAAATTGGTATGTTGTCTTCATAGCATCTTGTACTGAAATAGAATGATAGAATTCTGATATATTTTAGATAGTTTTCTTTAATAGTGTCTAATAATGTTAAATAATAGTTTTCTTTAATAATGTCTAAAATGCAGACTTTTTGGGGGGATGCTAGTCGCTTTACATATCATCTTCTGTAGCCCAGACCGTAGCATTTTGCTTTAAACGGTATTGTCATACAGACAGTTGTTAATATGTTAATTGGTTCATATTTTGATTGTTGCTATTTCTTTAACCTATTTCCCTGGGGCTTTGCGGTACTAGGAGAGCCTCTGCTGCTGGGCTGTGGCCCAGCTGTGTCAACAGAGCCTCCTGGTGATTTTTTTCTGCTGCGGTGGTCATAGTAGACACTGACACAAAGGAAAAATGACAAAGTGCTCCTCACTAGAGCAGTTATAAACTAAGTTATAGTAACTGTGTTCGATCATCAGGGCTACAACTCTTATAAATCAAACTGGAACATCGTACAACGTGTGGCAAACTGGATAGAATGAGAAGTATTTCACAGTCCTAGTTAATATGCATGACGTCAGCATGGCTGAACACTATATAGAGAGAATATATGCGTTACATAGTTTTTTTTATGTTTATTTTTACGTATGTGTTATAACGATGTTTTGTTGTTGCGAGTAGTTTAACTTGCATGTGATTGATTTTCTAATGAACCTCAGCTAGTTCAAAGAGGTGTTTTCGTGTTTCTTTAATTCGTTGTGCATGAAACCTTATACCTGTTTTCGTTATTACAGTTAGGTGCTGTGGAGCGGTTCCCTCTCCTTTGAAAGGGTATTTCCAATTGAAAGCTGAGAACACCATGAGGATATAACGTGTTTTTATGCTAGGGCATTACAGTATTTACCAAATCAAGTTTATCTCCCTCCTGTTACATTTTTCTGACATTCTGCCACCAACTATGTAGGTGCTGGGGACACTTTTCGTACTTGTTTTCGCATTTTTGAAGTTTCAGAAATGCTTCTGGTGAAGAGCAGAAAAGTCTTTACTGATGTGGAAGAACTTATAACCTCCCTAAGTTACAGACACTTTAACACAATGCAGGAAGTTTCTGTGTGTGCTGTATGCCAGCGTGCTGAATGCCAGTGCTGACTGGAATCTTAGGGCATACTGTAGAAATATGTTCATATGTAGCTGTATTTGAATTTAAACTTGGTGTAATATAATGTATTTTTTTCCAAATTAATCTTGTAAGTAGGTAAACTGATATGCCCAAGCATATATTTCTGTAATTACATTGTAACTATGTGATTTGAAATGTTAAGCAGATGATTCTTAATTCCAGTTCTTGCTATGTAATTTGACTTACTGCTGACAGTAAGTCAAACAGTAGTTATTCCAAACAGTAGTTAACGTGTTCTCTGAATTGGAAAGGAGCTGTCATTTTGGCTGATGGCATGGGGGTTCTTGCAAATAAAGTTGAGGTGGTTTTGCTGAAACAAAAAAGTCATTCATTGACTTGGAAAACCTGTATGTTGAACAGATTAGAACTTATTTAAAAGGATGATGGAAGCATCAACATGGCTTTGAACACAAAATTCCTCCTGGTATTTTAGATGTAATTGTTCTCAGTGATCTCTAGCTTTTTCTTTGTAATTATTTTTTGAGAAAATACTCGTGTGTGACAGAGGAGGATTCTAAAAGGTATACTTAAATGTGTGCAACACAACAGTAAAATCTAGATTTTGCTGGAATTAAATTGTTATTTCTGTATTAAGATTCCGTTTCTTCGTCTCTCTGACCCAGGTGGCAAAGCTGGCAGCTGTTTCTTCTGGTCTGCCATGTGCATCTATTACTGTATATGCAGCAACAGAAAAGGAATCAAAAGTGCAGCTGATGAAACCAAATCAGGTAAGATTCTTACTGCTTGTCTGTTTTTAAAAGAATATTGCATATCTTTCCATTGAATTATATTACTCAGTAAATGAAAAATATATCTAAGAAGTATGTGATAATACAAATTACCTTCTAAATAATTGACCACTATAGCACAGATAGTCAAAGCATAAAGAGAGTTACTGCAGTAAGTTAGTGAAGTTTTATCTCATTTCAAATTTCCAGACTTAAGCCAGGTGAAGTAAAATAATATAATGCTTGCCGATAATAGTATTCTTTCTACTGTATAATTTCTAGTAATATATTATATGCATCTTCCAACTGTTCTTGCTCGTGCTTTTTCTGATACAAAATCTATTTTTATCATACTTAGTAATGCTGCTTCTCAGAACTTATGTAATACTTCCTGTTTTCCTTTCTTAAAAAGTTAAACTATAGTCATACTTTTGTAAATTAAGATTTGTAAGTATAAAAGCGATAAATGATTTGATGTGGAGGTTTTATTCGCTCTAGCAGGAAGAATAAGGAAGGATTTAATGTCTTGAAAAACACTATTCAGTGCTAGTCAGTAATCAGTGTTACTGATTATTAACTGTTATTCAGTTAGTCAGTGTCCAAAACTGTCTCCCTGCAGTACAGTTATGCTTTTCTTTCCAGCTTCCAATTTACTCCTCACCGCCTCTGAAGTCTAAGTACATTGAAGAACAACCTGGCCATTTGCAGAAGGCATTTTCTTCAGTCAGAAAGACAACCAGCCGCTATATTGGGTGGTGCAAGGTAAGAAATACCTGCCTCTAAAGTTTCCTGCAATTCATGACAGCACTAGACTAAAACATTAAAATACAGCATATTTCACCCTGTTCTTTTTGAGTTCATTGTATCAGCATAGACCTGGAAGTTAAGATGCAAAAATAAGCCCTTTTCCCTCGCTTTTCTGTACTGTTTTGAGACCAGAGAACTTAGGTACCTGGGTAACTTCTTACTTGCAGAACTCCACTGCCTGTTAAGAAGTATGAATTTGAACTGCTTAAGAATCTCAGGTTGGCTACCCTCATTTGTTGCCTTTTTGAAGTAAATTAATGGATACTAGGGACAGTTGACAAAATGAATGCTATTATAGACCTTGACTGGGTCATTTACTCCGTATTTTATGCAATAAAACTAGTCACCGAGTAGTAATACACATTACAGATACATACGTTTAATCCTACATTAGGCAAATTTGCATGAGAGTTTTTTTTTTTTTTTTTTCCAGATTAGCTGATACAGTTGGCAGAAACAAATGTTTTTCAGACAGACATATTTTTCTAACTATCTTTGGTCCAGTAACATGTTTTTTGTCTCCCTGAAACTTTATGTTGCTTTATATCTTTAGCCTGTGACAGGTAGAATAGAACTACTTCTTAAAAATTCATTTCTCAAAAGAGCACAAACGTCATTTAAGAGTAATGCAAATAATTTCAGTCCTAAAGATGTGCAACGTATTTCATCTTTTTGAAGTACAGTGAGTGACGTACCTATAGCTGTTTGCATAGGAAGAGGGTTTGTCAATTTAGGAATTAAATAGCCATGATCTGGATTTGTAGGCAGGAGTTATGTATAATATTGGTGTGTTTTTTGTCATCTGCTGTTTTTGACAGTTTTCCACAATATGCTTTGGATCTGTTGAAATTTCAAGCAGCTTAAAACTTATTTTCTTTCATTTGTCTGAAGACTTGAGTCTTAAAAGTCTACTGTATCTTTTGTATTGTTATCGTAAAACAGAAAGCCTGCATAAGGAGCTCGTGTTCTTGCAGACTGTCCCTATGGTAAACGTTACCGGTGCAAAATTAGTGAAAAAGGAAAGAAATTCAGTCATACAAAAGGAAAAAGTAAAGACAGCCTTTAAATTTTATGAGTGTCAATAGGGAGTGATCAGTAGTTGGGTGGATGGTGTATGTATCCATATGGGTAGCCTGAAGGAGATGTACAAATCCAAAATATGTGTCTCGTTCACAGAATTATCGTGATGATTTTACTGGATCAAGTAATTGCTGCAAGCTCCATCTGTATGCTCTGTAGAGAATTTTGTCTCTTTACAGCATGTCAGGATGCCTACATGTTAGTTGTTTTTGCATGTGACATAGCTTCTTTCTATTTCCTTGGCACAGAACAGTTTTAGGATTTGTGTGGTTCTCTGGTGAATACCGACTTATAAACCAAGTACTGGGTAGTTGTTTATGCCTAATATTACTACAAGTAGCAACCTAGATAGCAAGAAATAATAAATTAACAAAACACGATATCTTGATTGTTAAATACATGAAGTAACTAGAGCAATGTTTTATGTGTAGTCATACCGTTTTTTTCCTCTGTATTTTACTCCATGAGGCAGCATTCATCCTTGATTTCTTTTGTTATTTGTCTAACTTTCAGATTTTACATGTCCAACTCAAACAATTTTGTTGCCACCAGTCATTATAGCACTTATTTGATGATCAGTAGTGGAGGCAACTACATTGTAGTGTACTTGAAATGCAAGAGAGTATGCATTCACTGCTTAGTTTAGGTTTACCCTTAGAAACAAAGGTTGCCCATACTTAGGAGTGTGAAGATCCAGGTACTATCAACAGAGAGCTAGCTGCCTCCAAAGGGCGCGTTAGAGTACCTGATTTAGATACTTTAGGAATCACAAGCTGACAGCACCCCACAATAACTGGTAAAGCAGTCTATCATTAACTAGTTGTCAAAAATACCTTTACAACTAGGTTACTGAATGTTCTAGGCGTAGAAGAAAATGTGATACCTATCATCATGGTGTCTTAACTGCTCAAAGCCAGGAGCTCCCCAATAGCTGAAATTGTTTGTCCCGCAAGGCCAAAGCGGTTCCTAGCACTCTCATCCCTGCCATCTCTTTAACTTTCTGCTCATAGAATTCCTGTTTTAGTAGCACTGGTGGGTGAAATAAGAGCTTGTCATAGGACCCCTAGTGCCATCTCTTATTCTTCAGGAAGAACATCTGCTTCTCAATTTTCACATCACCTAAAGCAGCTTTTTAGCATGACTGCTGTTAGTTATATGAAATTTTATGTATGTATTTTCCTCTTATGAACAAAATGAACTTGATTATTTTGAAAATAGCAAAGAAATCAAAATATGTTCCTGCATTTTCTGTAAATTCTGATTCCATTGATCTGTGAAAACTTCATCAGTGGCTGTTATTATGTAGTTTATAATTTAAAATAATTCACTTATAAATGTGTGTCAAACTTGTCTATGCCCATAAACGTCGAGGAGTAAGTTAATGCTTCAGAGACTGACTAGCAGTGACACCTCGTGGTACAAATTCAGTGTTACTGGAAACAAATTCAGTGAGATAACTCGAGATGACATTGTCTTTTTTTTAATTGATCTCCTAAAGAATGAGTGCTTACTTGATTTGTTCAGCAGTCTTAGGACAGTAATGATAATAATCGACTGCTAGAATTCTTTTTGCCTAGATGAGGAAAAGTTTGTACCTAAATATTTTGACAAATTTGAAAGGAGTAAAGCAAAGTGGTTGAACGCACGTTTCAGACAAAATGAGTATTGCCTATCGAAGATCTTCAGGGAAACGGATGTACCATTTTTACAGACAGAAAAACCAGGCCTGTTTTACTGGGTAAACCTCTTTAGGGAAGAGGAGATTACATTTTATTACTGAATTTTCACATATTGAAGTTCAGATGTTTTCCTTCTCAACAGTTTTGTTCCCAATAAATTTATTTTGAAAAAGCTCTCATTATATTAAATTGGAAATATTTAACTATATATGGGTGGAAGTTTAAGAATTATGAATGTGGTACACAAAAAAGGACTAGATCTCTGCACCACCGCTGTAGAAGTTCATGGATCTGTTTCTTGTGAAGTTATGTAGTTATTTGTTTTTCTCATTGTGCTAAACCATATGTACCAACAGGGTATTTTTGTATTGAAAACATCTACTTTTGCAAAGTATTTGCATTCATTTAATGTTTTCTTTTTTTTGTAGGGTGCTTTTGTCTTTGTTAAAAATGGAATGATGGATTCGATTCAATTTGGAAAAGGTAGGCAAACTGCATATTTCTTAATGGACTGCTTTCTGTTGTTTGTCCTTGCAACCTAGCTGGTTAAAACCAGAAAACAGCAAATTGTACTTGGCCAGGGCGATGGAAGGGGACTGTACTGGAATGCTTCCTGCAAGCGTGGAAAAAAGGATTGGGGGGGGAGGGGGGTCGTTGTTCGTTTGCTGTATCACTGTGGAGTTTCAATTCTCTTCTGAAATGAGAGAAATAACCAGTTAAGTAGTCTTACTCCTCTGATTTTGGTCTGTGATGTTTTGTGATCCTCTGATATTGTTTTTGTAGCTTCTGAATATTGTACGTACAGTCGAAGCGTTAGATTTTACTGTGATGCTGATGAGGGAAGGCATAGAGAATGTTTCTTACACTTCCATTTCCTTACATTCTGCAGAATATTTTCTAAAGTTTGAGGAAGGCAATGTTCATTTAAATAGGTACCATGTAGGCAATGCTATTGTGTAAACCGTTGAGTGTGCATGTGACACGCAAATACTTAAATCTTGTTAGTAGTTTTAACTTACAGTTTGTTTTGTTCTTAGAATTGTAGAACCCCAGAATGACTGAGGTTGGAAAGGACGTTTAGAAATCGTCTAGTCCAACCACACTGCTCAAAGCTGGGTCAGCTAGAGAAGGTTACTGAGGTCTCCAAGGCTGGAAACTGCACGTTCTCTCTTAATTATGGAAATAACTTTTTAATTCTAGCATAGACTACAAATAGTATTTGCATTCAAGTTCCTTATCAGCAATTACAGATAAAAATAATTTTCCTTAAAAATAGTGAATTGAAAGATTCCAAAATATGTTATCTGTCTATAGTAACATACAGTAAAATAAAAATGTGATATGTTTTCCTTTCCCATTCCTTTCCTTTCCCATTGAGTCTTAATGCTAACATTTTATAAAACAGGAAGTATCTAAAGAGAAAAATTGTTAACACTGTTTGCTGATATGTTTTGAGGACCTTTGATTAGAATTCTGGGCCTGTCTAAAACACTTTATATAGAGTATGTGCCTGGAAAAAAAGGCATCTTCAGTCATTAACAAAAACCCAATCCTGGACTGTGTTCAACTTTGGATACGTACAGTTCTACTTCCATCTTTATTTCTTAAGTGGTGAATAAGAGAAAAAAGATTCAAACTGAACTGCTATGATACTTTTTTTTTATTATTATTATTCTAAGATGCTTATGTTTACCTCAAGAATCCACCACCAGAATTTCTTCCCAAAGCTGGAGTAATTACAGTATCAGGCCTAGCTGGCGTAGTGCTGTCAAGAAAAGGTAGGGATTTTCTGCTTATTTTCAAAGATTATCATGTTTAATATGTAGCAGCTTTAATGAACTAAAGATTTTTCTGAAAGATGGGCGAAAACCTATGTAACTAGTATTTTCTAAAAATCATTCATGATAAAATTTGAAGGGACGTTATTATTTCTTTTTTAACTCTATAAAATTGTAAAAATAAACATATACAGTGTTACTGAATGTTGTTTGTATGTTAAAGTAAATTCAATGCCTTAAATCATTTACTTGATGAAACTTTATAATTTATTTTACTTGGAATGTTTACCCGTATTGTGCTCTTGGATAAAACCTCATTTTTCTAGTAATTGGAAACACTTACATCAGTGTACCGTGTGAGTTATGAGCACAAGGAGCTGTTAAGGAAGCATAGGTCACCATAGCTGAGAGACAGAATATTGTTGTGACTTAAAACCTGGCTAAGACCAAGTAGTGAGAGCAGGATTACATGGTCGTCGTTAATGGTAGAATCAACAGAAATGCAAGGTAGGACACTTAATTTGAGTGTATTCATTATTGGTTTTCAAAAACAGTGTGTATATGGGAGGAATTTAGATACAAATTAATATTTAAGATTGTTGAGTATAGTGAAAACTAAGGGAATTTAGAGAGAGGAACAAAAGGAGCGTTGGCATTTGGATAATAGATACAAGAGAACAGACATTGGAAGGAATGGTTTCAGCAATATTGAAGCCAAAAGGGTAATTCATACGGATATAGCATCCTCTCATTTCAAGATAAGTACTAAAGAAATGATACTTCACCTGCTGGAAAACAAATGTTCAGAAAATGCGTATCTGTATTACCTGAGCATGTGTGTGTCTGAATATTTCACAAAACAAAAGGAGTGAATCAAAATTTTGGCAGATTAGTAAAAGTTTTCTTACTGTATCCCTACCATTTATTTGGTGGACAATGAAAAACAAAAAAGACTCAGACCCTTGTCAATAAACAGGAACTTGCAGCTAGCCCAGCTGGTCTCACGTTTGAACACAGGGTCCCAGTTTCCAGGCTTCTGGTTGCTCCAAGTTCAGGAGTCTGTGTCCTTGAGAGAGCTCACGTAGAGCTAGTGATGAACCACAGCAGCTCCTAAATTACGCTAACGTTCTTTTCATTTCTCAATCAAATTTTCCAGTATTGTGAAATTATTTCTGAATCAAGAAACCAACCTTCAGAATATCAGCGTTTTCTGCATACGTCACTGCAGCAGTTTACTAGACTGCAATCACAATTCTGTCTTCTCTGCTCCAACCATACTGAGGATGTTTGGTGTAAACAATTATCAGGGGTTAAACAGTTGCATGTATATGACTCCACAGTTCTACATTTCATTAGCATCTAATTATTTACAACATTTGGTTTTATACAGGTTCGAGATTTAAGAAAATTGTTTATCCATTGGGACTTACTACTTTAGGAATTTCGGTTTGTTACCCAGCTCAGTCAGTAGTAATTGCTAAGGTAAGTTTACTTGTGTTTTAGTACTGAATTAACAGTGATTTTAGTCACAGGATTCCAATTTCACTTGACTTAACTATCTAGGGACTGGGAGTTGGAATTCAAATGTATTTTCATTAATTCATATAATGCATCACAGATGTTAATTGCGTAACTATCAACAGTGCATGAAATGGCTGAATTTAAAAACACAGTTGCACAGCATCTTAATTTTAAATCCTCATTTCTCAAAGAACTAAATGCAGGTGATATTATCTTGCTGAAATAAATTGAGATGTCTTATGTACTTTTGATAGATGTGCAAATTGAAAAGCTATATAATTGCATTTTTTATTAGAATTCCATATTTTCCAGTTACTGTTGTCTTGTCTACCTGATTAGAATGTGTCTTGGCTAGTTATGCAGAAAAGCTGTGCCATATGTATTTTTCTCCATGCAAGAATTGTTTGCACACAACTGTGTGGTATACAGAAAGTGAATTGAAAAGAATGTAAAATCTCTAATAACTCCTCCTTCAGTTTACCAATATTTCCTATTTAAAAGGCACCTGTTGCTTCATAAGAATTGTTCTGAGTTTCTTGGCAGACTTTGTATTTCTGAACTGCGCTTCTTTGTGAAATTCTTGAGGTAGGAAAATTTAGTTCCAATAGTTCTGTTTAGTTCTAGGATTTAATCAACAATTTAGTTAAATGGTCAGACTTAAATCTGGACAGAAAGCTTTATGGAACATTGTCCTAAAATCTGATTGAAAAGCAAAACTAATATGGAATCTCTACCTTGACGTTATGATACATCGGTGGTAGTTTTTACTAATTTTAACCTGTATGCTTACACTTCCAAAGTACTTGAGAAGATATTGCAAAGATCTATGGTATGGTTGAAATCTGTGGGCCACCTTATATTACTGCCCTGATGTGTTTTTGCCGTTACGCAAATCAATGAAGATTACAGTTTCTCAAAAGGCAGTGGGACTTCCTTGGCTCGTTATTGTAAGAATTACATTTCAGGGTTGGAATACACACAAACGAATGGGAATGCCACAAAGTAGGCTATGATCTAACTCAAGAAGCCAAACCTTCATTTCCTGTCTATTTACACTATATGTAAACTTTTGCAGTTTTTTGCAGATGAAGCCACCAAGTGGACTGTTTCTGTAGAGCATCAGTAAAGGCACTCCGTAGTTACTGCAATATTATAAAAATAATCTTCTAAAACTATGAGGAGACTGAAGGATTCGGACATTTCTAAAGCCATCAGTTCAAACGTAGTGAGACAGGCTTGGATTCCTTTAAAACACCATTGCTGACCAGCCTATTGCACTAACATTGACAAACGCTTTTCCCTGATCAGGTTTTGATTTCATTTCGAGTAGGTGGATGTAGTGTGTGACTGCTACCTGTAGTTTTCTAATAACAATTTAAATGTTATTTATAATTTAAGATTTGTTTGGTGTAGGAGAAACATGAGTTGCCCTAGATCTTGAAATGTAGATAATTGAAATCTGTCCTACTGAATATAGGATCAAGCATATTTTAGTCCAAACAAAATGTATTTCCTTTAAATGGCCTATGATTCTAAGTGTTTCTTAAGCTATTGTTAAAAGTACATGTTTAAAAAAATAGGTAACAGGAAAAAGGGTGTTTTCTGCAAGCCATCAAACCTATGAAGCAGTACGATCGCTGTGGGTGAAAAAGGAAGATATCACAAAGGTAGGCTTGCTGAAGTAATGAGCAGTAACTCATAAGTTCGAAGGGAGAAAAAAGTAAATGCAAAGTACCATTTTGCTGATGCTGTTTAAGATTACTAATGTGTGTTAAATGAGGCACAAAAAACCGCTGATATAGCTACAGTGTGTATGTAAATATTTGCTAATGTTTAATCTATTTAATATTCATTATACCTTTCCGACTGGTAGACTCTGGGATTCCTCCTATACTCCCACGATACACACAAGATGAGCAAGAGAAGACTGAGTTTCCCTGATAGCTCATTTTTGAACTTGTCAAAAGTTAATGCATTCTGATTCAAGCTCTGGTCCTAAGCCGACCACTGAATTTAAGATAAAGAAGATGTACAAAATACAGTAGATACACGACTACCTTTTTCTTAAACATACAGTGAAGGAAATTTCATAACCCTTTCAGGTAGCCAGTTCAGATAGTCTGTTTTTCTTACCCATTGATATAAATTATCTTTGTCTCAGACTAAGCTGGTTTTTTTTTTTTTCTTGTCCTGTCCTCATGCAGCCCTAGTAAACAAGTGATCAGTAACCTCTTTATAATGACCTCTTACATATGGAAAATTTATCATGGTTTTTGGCATGATCTTCTCCCTCAAATAACCTTTTCTTATAGAGCAGGCTTTCTAGCTCTTACATAATTCTTGTCCTCCTCTGGACTTTATCTAGTTTGCCTCTCTCTCTCCTTTAAGTGAAGTGCTCAAAACTGGACATATTACAGGAGCTGAAGCCTTGCCAGCACTAAGTAGAGAGGAATATTTACCTCCCGTAAATTACATGTGGAACTCGGGTTAGTACATCCCAGAATTAAATTGTTTTTTCTGCAACATGAAAGATTTTTTTCCCTCCAATAAAAACTTTGAAAACCCTTGACAAAAGCAGTACTTCCTAAGGAAAAGTTCAGCTTTGTGTACAGTGTATTTTCTGCTGTTTTTAAAGAAAATAAAAATTTCTCAGTCATCTTAACATTTACAAGTATTTTGATTTGTATTTAAGGTGCTCATTTGTACGCAGTCCTCGCTTTTCATTTCCACTGAGGAGCACAAATGGAATTCCGAGTTTTGAAAAAGTGATTCAAATAAATGCCAAAAAACTGATAGGGAAACGAGAATTGATGTGGTAAAGACAGTTTCTCTTACCTTATTTTTTTTTCTGAATGAAGCCTATTCCCAAAAGAATATATTATTTTTCATTAATCAAGAATAATTAGCTAGGGTATTAACACAAGATGGAAAGTTTAATCATGGTAACTTTGATAAGGATAGTAAGTGTTCTGTAAAATCTACATATTAGTCTTGTGTAAGACTCCAAGTTCTTCATTTGTAAATGAATAATGACTTAGACTTCCTTGTGGAGTACTTGCCGGGTCTCAGTTGAAAGCAAAAAAGAAAATGAAAGTGTCAGACCTAAGTACACACTCATGACAAAATAAACTTCCTTAAAAGTGCATTTGAAGTTACTGCATGTGAACTGAGCTTTCTCTGATGCTCTTTATTTTTTCCAGCTGTGTCCGTTGCATGCAGCTGTCTTTAATGTTAGTAGTTGAATGTCATCTTATGATGTCATATCTGAAAATAATTTGGTAAAAGATAAGCTTTCATATAACTTTACTTTGCAGTAATAAATTCAGCATATACCTTTGCGCATGTTTTTGTTATTTGTCTGATTCACAGCTGCAGCAAGAGTCAAAATCACTTTCAGAAGAAGGTAAGAAAAAGAAAGAAATTTCAAATGCATCACCTGAATCTGCTGTGAAGTCAAGATCATTTGACAGACCAGAATCTTCTCTGGCAGGATCTTCAAGTACTAAAGATCCAGTGCCTTCATTATCTGAATTAAAAGTTCCCAGTATAATCTCAGGTACAACATTCAAATCCAAAACACATTCTGAATTATTTGACTTCATTTTCTAGTTACCCTTGCTTCAAAATAGAACAGACTATCTTAGCATATTATTCTTGAGAATATATTATACACCATATAATTCAATATTCAGGGCTTCAGGGAGACGATAATTTGCTCATTGTGGACCGTGTCACAGTATCAAAATTATAATCTGATTTTTGATATTATACATAATGTTGTCTTTCATTCCCTGTAGTAGGGAATGAAAGTAGTAGATGTAGTAGATGGTCCCTGGACCATCTTCCATGTTGGTAGAAATTACATGATATTCCTGAAGAGATAACATCAAATGTTTTCATTAAATACCCACCTTATAATATCTTTTTGTTGTCAGAAGACCATAAGAACAATTTTAAGGATTTCAACTGGGGTTTTATTTGTGAGAGTGGTTCATTTGACTCATTGCTCTGCCTTTGTATTGCTTCTGTCGTATCTTCAGACGTTGGTAAAAGAAAAATATGTAATTGACAACTGATGCACTGTAGGCATTAATGTTATTTTGCCAGGTTTTGTGTGGTGATGCTCTTCATGTACCTTAAGTGGCTGAGCTAATCAAATAGTTAATATAACAGTGTGTTTAATATACAAGTATTTTGGTAGGCCAGTTTTTAAGAAAAATAGTAGAATTATCTATTAAAGCAGAAATGTGTGTCACTGAAAAATGAATTTGTTTTAAAATATTGTAATAATTTTTTAAGGGAAATTTGGGAAAAATATTTGAGCTGTCGATTATGCTTGCTTACCTCTTTTTATCATGCCCTTTACTAAAATTTTTTTTCTGGAAAGCAAGCTGAACATATTTGAATGAAGTTTTTTCTTTTCTTTTCACCGCTAATACATTTGCATCTTTCTTTGCTTTGTACCTGTATTTTTTTCTGATTTAGTTAGTGGAATACTTTGATCTCTTTTTACATTTGCTTCAGGCCAAGCTCTCGTTAACAGCTTTATATGTATAGGTATCTTATGTCTTTGCTTTCACAAATGGAATTAATTCTTGTCCCCAATGCAACCAGTAAACATCCATGCCCTTAATTAATCTGGGTTGCCCGAGATGTTCATTTTCTCTAGTACAAACGGAGCAAGGCGTTCAGGAGGACATAACATCCGTTATTGAATCAACATAACATCCGTCACTAAATCAACTGGAAAAGCCGCCGACCGGTATTAGGAGGCACATTTCTAGAAAGCTGACCTTTGTATGCCCTTAAAGCCTCCTTAATTACAATGTACATAAGCATGCCAGTCTTAGTGCCTTGATGTCTAGGATGGGTGTAAAGCCATAACATTTTAGAAAATTTAGTTCATTGGATTTTGGAAGCTGTAAAGTGAAACTAGGTATTCCATTATTTTGGAATTTTTATCATCTGGTTGCAAGTAGCTGAGCTGCAGCTTCAAAGGGAGATGCTGATTTAGTTGAGTTTGGGAGACAGCTGCACTCCTGTCAACAGTGAGGGAAAGATGAATCAAGACTTCTTCCACATCTCGAGCTTTGCCTTCCTTTCCCTCTGCAGGGCAGAGCACTGCTGTGAGTTATATTTCCTCCCTCACCCTGCCATGTTCAGGAAGTAGTAATGAGGTCTAGAGAGTAGGAGGAAAGCCCACACTTCATGCACTGCTGTGTGCTAAGAATCACAACATGCCTTCATCAGCCTGTATCACATACACAGCTTTAACCAGAGCATAAATATTTACATCATGCATAAGTGCTCGGTAATATGATAATTCTTAGAATTGTTGGTAAGCCTTTTTTCTAAAGCTCACACGTGCACACACACAAACACATATTTTATTATATTTCTTTAATATCTCTAACAGGGACAGTGAAGACAGCAAAATTTAAACCTGACCCCGAACTTATGGACCATGGTCAGTCCAGCCCGGAAGATGTGGATATGTACAGTACTAGAAGCTAAGACATCTGCTTTACAAATCCTTGCAAAGTATTAAAGATAAGGGGGAGGGATAAAGGGAAGGAATAATCCTTGTGATACATACGCTGTAAGGTATAATTTAATCAGGTATTTTCTCACATCCTAATTTGTACTATTGATTTATGTGACTGTGTTTAATGAATACTTTGTTTTTCATTGCTTAGAAGCAGTTAACAGACACACTTGTTATATATGAACAGTAATCACCTGCTGAGAATTAGTGAGAATTCACTCACTGTTAGCGTCATTAGTGAGACACTGACTGATTTGTCAGTGTCTTCTGACAGGGACGTTTGTCTGTGCCAAGCTTGTTAATAAATGTCATTTTACAAAGGATGTTTGAAAATGTAAATATATCTCTGTACTTCTGCTCAGTTGTTCACTGATTTAAAAAAAAAAAAAAGAATCTGATTGATGGGGGTAGGAGAGGCTTCTGGTTTCGGTTCTCTTCAGCGCTGGAATGAAGTGCAATTATAGCACTTAGTCACTCCATTTGCCCAGATGCCTTACTTAGCCTTGGGTACTCCTAAAAAATCAGTTGATATGGTTTTATTGTATGAATAGCAGTAGCTTTAAGGCTTGTACAAACAAATTATTTTGTTGCAAAGTCATTTGTTGTCGCTTACCTCTTTTTCATTGAGGTGAATGGAAACTGAACTTATTCCGTGTGCTTGTGTGTAATTAAATGTCGCTTAAGTTGGGCAAAACATGCAGCTAATCCCTAAAATATCTTTTACGGGGTATGCATTAGTTTTCAGCTACTTCTAATACTTTGAAGAACTTCATGGAAATTATCTAATCTATGAAACTGATACTGTTTGAATTTATACAGAGCGCACTAGCCATGTTTAGAAAGTTGAAAACCTTCTGTGGTTTGGAGTTTTAAAGTAATTGGTTAAAGGTGCAGATAAATATTAAAAAAACGCAGAAGTAATAGGCAATGAACATTCTGTTCCCGGAAGTTTTTATGCAATACCCATTGGTCTTGGTAGGATTTCTGTGAAATTATGTCTTTTTTTCTAAGAAAAAGATTAGAAATCGGATAAGTTTCCTATGATGAAATTCTCAAACATTGTTTTTATGACTGACTGTATATATCAGTCTAGTTCTGTTTGTCCTTTATTTCTCTCTCAAACACGCTACTAAGGGTTCGGCATAGATCTGGTGATCTTGCTTGAACAAAACACAGGTAGTTATCAGTGATAATGAGCCCACTGTCTAGAAGTAATCAGATTTGTCTCAACTGCAGTATTTTTCTCATACACAAACTGCAGAAGGACATTGTACTGGTAGTTTGTCCTTTGATCTGTTGAAGTGTCTTATCTTTCAATTAATGAAATATGTGTACCATGCAAGCAATATTCCTAGCGTCACCTGTGACCGACAGAAGTTGTTAGAAGGTATTGCACAGTGGAATATTATTGCACAAAGCATAAATGATAACTGAGCAAAAGCACAAGTGAGGCTTGTATAATGGTTCAGGAGCAGACTGTAAGTATTGGTATTTTGGAATCCAAATTTCCGGCAAAGTGCTGGACCTATACAGAGTCCAACAGAAGGCAGAGTAAGTGAGTAATGACGTTTAGAGAAAAAACTCTACTTCTAGTTTAGTTAAATTGCTTGAGGCAGCTGAATTAGAACTTAATGTGTTTTGTTTCTTTAATCAATTCGCAAGGCGTAGGCAACTGTCACAATTCAGGCGGCAATTAGAGGATTTTTAATCAAACTTCACAGAAGTCCTGGGCAAGGCAGATGTTGGATTTCATCAGAGAAAGAGGAGTGGAAAAATTAGATGGCTGGGCTTCATATGCCTGCTCCAGGGAAACACGGAAAGATGTAAGGGTGGAGGCGAAGATGGTGGAAGATCATTTTCAAGTGCAAGACTGGATGGCAGAAATTATATTATCCATTTCCATATCTGGCCCTTTGTCCAGATTCTGCATTAAAAAGCATGGGAAAAACCTTCTGCTCTACTCCTAGATTCTGTTTAAATTCTAGCTGATGTCCTTTGAGTGATGTGCTACCACAAGTCAAAAGAAAAAGGTAAGATGATGTGGATAATTTGTAGTTTACTGTGGTGACACAGTCTCACACTGTGTCCTGAACAGTGCAGAGGAATTACTCCTCTGTGAACAGGGAAAGAAGCCGCTTTGGATAGCGGTTAAGGCTTGTCTGCCCTTTCCAGGCCAAGAGTAGACCCTGAAAGCCTGCCCTCTGCCTGCAGTGCAAAAGGCTGGTCTGATCCTTTCCATACTTTTAGGGCATTTGTGCTCATGCATCCTTTCATGGTACAGAAAAAGGTGTCTTGTCTGCAGGAGGTACATTGCTCTCCTGATGGTTAAACGGTCTAGAACTGGATGCTTCATATAAGCAGTTCCTGTCACAACCCTTGATTTCACAAGTAGTTCATGCTGTAAGTGGGCATGCTGCACAAAGCTGTCCCTAAGCTGTATTTCAGTCTCACATTACTCCCCAGAGCAAAACTGTGATAGACCTATGCTTCGCAGTTACGTGGTCATTCAGAAGTCTCAGACACCATTTTCTAGGAAGTAAGATAAAGTTATTGCTCCTACCCACATCGATGGATGACGAGTGTGAGGAATACAGTTATAAAGCTCATAAAATGATATCACTGTAGGCAGTGTTATTTCTTATTGGTGAAAAAGAGGAGTGAGCCACCGCATGACAATGCGAAAGGTTTCTTCCAGTAATGGGGTTATCTTCTCCTGTCATTCTTTTAGTCAGCTGTAATTTCTCTGTAGTTATGTTTCTCTGCAAGTGGTGGTAACTTTTTCATTCTTCTATCAACTGCTTAAAACGTAATACAGAAGTTCTTTCAAAATCTGCATGTGTTTGACAAGCTGGGACTAAAATTAAGAGTTTTCATTTCAACAGTGAAACAAATACAACTAGAGGAGACTATTTCCCTATGTGCAGCCAAAGAAAACAGGGAAAAAGTAGGAAAAGCTTTACATCCTGGTTGGGTGTGTTCTCTCCTTTCAGGAAGACCATAGCCAATCTCTAAATTGGTATTTCTGTGTCCTATAAAATGTTAGAAAATTAATAGGGGGAAGGAATGAATTTTTCAGTAAAAACTGGAATATGATACGGTATAATAATGCTTTAGTAACTTTGACTGAGGTCAGTCTTTTTCATGTCCACCTATGTGAGACAAATCGTAAGAGAAACTTACAGTTCTAGAGGTACTTAATACCCCCCAAAAAGATGCAGATAATTGCAGAGACGTTTGGGCTGTATTTGCTAAAAGGAAGGCAGGTTAAATCAGATTACTAGTCTGATTTTGTACAAATGGTGGAATGGTGACTGTGACTCTTTGTTATTCAGCTGCCATTCTGAGAAGCGTTTCTTTGTTGAATCTAAAAAGATGCCAGCCCTCTTCAGCTGAGAGAGCTGATGCTCCACATCTCATAGAATACTCCACAGATGGCATATTTCAGATAACTACAAGGAACTGCATGCAGCTACGGCTGGTCTCCAGTGCTGTCTGTTGGAAAGTAATGTAGTGAAGATACTATTCTACAAATATTGGTAATTAAAAAAAGCTGTAAAGATCATAATTAGTAATAGCATAAAGTACTGGCCACAGTATTCTACTGTGATGAATTTTTGTCCTTGCTATCAATTCTCCCATAGTATGGTCAAAAACTGAAGAAAATGTGTATTTGACCCAAGTTCTCTATAAAGAATTCTTGTCATCTTGTGTCACTGTATTCAGAGAAAAACTAGGAGGCTGATTTAGATTACAGTGTTTACATACTAGGAGGAAGAAGGACAATTTAAGCTCTAGTCCACGTTCTAATGCTTGGGAACTGTAGGGCTCAAATAAGTGGCAATATAGCATATATCAAAGCTTTATCTCTCCTACTGTTGGCTGACAGTTACAGTTCTACTGCGTAGTCTAATCACATTCCTAGCTTTTCTGATTAGACTTCATTTCCCTTTTCTCCGTTATCAGGGGGGCAATGTTCAGCACCAGTTCTTGGAGTAGACTAGATGGAAATGACTGATAAGGCCATACTGCATTCTTTCAAAAAAGCTCTGCTTCTGGTTAACTCTGTATACCCAGTGAGCAATTCTTACACTAAATGCTTGAAGAGTCAGTTAAATAAAAATGAGTGATATATAACGTATGCAGTAGTTTAATGATACGAAAGGGGCAAGTAGGTGGAATATCAGGAAAGAAACTCCTCAGTGGACAGTGGAGCACCCAGTGGGTTGTATAAAGTCTTCCTGAGGAGAAGGTAGAAATCTGTTGGGGGAGGAAGGGGTTAGGAATTAATTTGGTATTGGGATTAAAAATAATTTTAAAACCTCTTGATGGGGACAGTCTTGCACTAGCAGAAGTAACATACCTACATGAAAACTTGTAGCCACATCTCTGTATTAATTTGCAGATACAATGCAATGGTTGTATTGATTGCAATCTTGTGGTCTTTCAATTCATCTTTTAAAAAGGAAAGTCAAATGTGTGTTATGCCATGCTCATGAGTCCTCATTTTAACCATAAGTGCCTGACTTAATATCTTTAAAATTTGAGATCCAATGCCCAAACCTGTTAAACAATAAAAAAATTAATGTAAGAACATGTGAAAAGTTGTGTTGCAAGACATACATTTATTAATTTATTGTGAAACACTTCTAATGATACATTTCAGAGGCATTTTATAGTCACTTAACTTAAAGCTTGACCTAAGAGTTCAGTAGTTTCTTTCATAATACAGTAATATACATAATACAGTGCACAGTACAACAGTACTACAATAGAAGCGAGAATGTATGCTTTACTTTTTATATAAAGTTAGTTGTGTTTTTGAAGAATCCTCTGTCTTTTAAAGAACTAGATCACATGACTTTATTTTATAATACAGAAATATTTTTAATTTACTGCATGGTTTTTATTTATGGTTGATTGTATTGGTTATCTGGAGATTTTGAATTGTTTATATTAATTTTTTTATTTACATAAAATTGATTGTGATACATTATTTTGCCATATCATTGTGAAGAACCTGAAAATAAAGGGTGATAAGATACTTATTTTTAAAAAATCTTTACTTTTGTAGGCTGTCTCAGCTGTAGGGCAAATTGTCAATTCCGTTTCTCTAAAGTGAATTTTTAAAGTTAATTGATGAACATGATTCAGTCACATGTTCCACTACTACTGGAAAAAAAAATCACCTGTTAAGTTCTGAAATTTCTGTGACGTACATTCCTGAAAGATATCATCAAAGCAATATGCAGAATATATTAATACTTGGTATTCGGTTGTATATGCATCTGAATTTTGAGGTTTACTTCTATTTGCTTTTCTTGCTAGTTTCTTTTTAAGAATGGTATGGCTCAGAAGTGGGGAAAAAAAAGAAGTGATTTACCCAGGTAGGGAAGATTACTCATATAATGTTAAAAGAATGAGACCGACAGCAATAAATAGAAATAAATATATTTATTTACCAGGATGTGGTTCCGTGGTACAGAAGTTTTCCAGGTAAAGTAATCTGCCAATCCGAGGATCATAAGTAAAGAAGTACATGGCGTAACCTACAGTGTAACTCCCCTGAAAGAAGAAAAATATTGTAAGGGAGTAAGGAATGTGGCTATTTTACGGCACAGATTTTATTATTGTTATGCTTCCTGAATAACTACAAGATAGCTATTTTTGAATAGCTTGAATAGCTATCTTATAGTGAAAGTTTTGTGTATTTCTGAATAACATTAAAATTCAGAAAATAAGGTGGAGTACTACAAAGTTTGTACTTCTTTAACAGAGAACATTAGTATGCACTTGGACACATTCATTATGCGGTTCTTATTTTAAATAATAACTTATAAATATAGTGTCAATAAAAATGCTTTGTATAGTAATAAATATACTTTACAATAATATATTATTAGTAATGTATCGCATTACATATAATTAATACAGGGAAATTGATAATTTAGTATGATATGATATTTTATTTTTATATTTTTGTTTTATATATTTGTGTAATTATATTTATAAATAAATTTCTATTATGAATAATGCTCCTCTTTATTTCAGGGAACATACTTCCAACACGTGGAGAGTCTAAGAAGCAAAGCTCAGCTATGTGCTGATGCTAAGCTACGGTCAAGAAGACAGACTGTTATCAAAAGCATTTTAGAAGTTATTTTATTGTTTATATTACCACAGCATTGATGAGCAAGTGTACAGACCAAACAAGTGGTAAGGAGAAGGAAATCCAAAAGTCAAAAAATCCTATTTTGCTCAATTTTTGTTTGAAGAAACCTCAGGTTTTCAAGTCTGATGGGCAGACCTATTTTGTATTGCAGAAGTGAGTATATCAGTACATAATAAAAGGCTGTAGAAGGAGAGAAGAAAGAAAGGGGAAATAAAAGTTTCGTCACTAACTCAGAAGAGATGAAAGGGCTGTCGCGCGTGTGGGCGTTCAGAGCGTGCTGAGGGCAGGAGTCGGAACCGCGTTACTCTGAGACGTGGTTCGTTCTCTGACCAGTTGTTTATGCGTTGCTGGAAATTGCTTTTACTGAAACAGCTGAAGGAAATTCCACGCGTTTCCCAGGCTGTGGTCAGATAATAGGTCTGAACTGAAATTGAATCATATTTTGAAGTGTTGATAACCTTTATGTATGTGTTTTATTTGTCAGCCTTGAGAAATTTGTAACTTTCTGTTTGTTTTTTGTTTTGAACCTCTGCGACTAAACAGCAGTAGAAAGGGTGTTCTCCAAAGCCATCTTGAAGCAAATCGGAAGTTAAGATTAAAGCTAATGAGCAACTGACCAGCTACCAGCATTAACTTTGTTCTCTAACTTTATTTTAGTTAAATAGCTCTCTAGGTAAGGAAATAAAATTAGTTTTGGCATAGTCTATGCGTGGATTGTAGTTGTAAAATGCCTAACTCTTTCTATTTGATATTTAATGTTCAGAAGTTAAGAAGATGAGAGAAAGAAGTGGGTACGTGAAGTTTAATACAAAAAGCTATTTAGGCCTATGAGGGATAATCTTAATCCATGGTTTTATTTGTTGTTACCTAGCCAGGCACCGAACAGAGAAACCTGCTGGCGGCCTCTGCAGCCGTTCTGTGAGGCCTAGTCCGAACCTGCTGCGTGCAATAAAATAGCAGCGTGCAATAGAAAGTCAGTAGTATGTTAACTATATGAAAGGGATTTCCTGATTCGTTTAATTAGAACAACTCACCAGATTAAAAACTGTAAATTTACAACATTTGTGCCTCCTTCTTTTAACGAAATTTGAAAGCACTAGGTAAAGGTGTTCTGTTTAGCGCACACCATGACGTATCTGTGTTTAAAGGTTAGCGTTCAGCAGCTGTGAACTTGAACCAGAGAGGAAGTTTGGTGTCAACTGGAAGAACAAAGCATATGTACAGACTGGTGCTTTACACTCCTGCATCACTTCTAATGGGGGATTGCACCGCTTTTTTAGTGAGGTGTGTGCTAGTTTCTGTGCTCTCAGATGAGGAAGCTGAGCGTGATTCAGAGACCTGCTGTGAAGTAATGTAATGGGCAGGGCTGAGAAACAGTCTTAACTCTAAATAATCCCGTGCATAAAACTGCTGTGGGGTTAGACCTTCAACCAAATAAGTGATCTTTCAAAATCTGTGATATGCCAGCCATTGATTTTTGCAGATAACTATTTATTTATTCATTGAAAAGTAAAGGTTAAAGTTTACCTTGCTCTGTTAATGTAACTGCATTTGGCGTAAATTCATAAGCAGCTCGTTCCTGTCAAATGAAGAAATCTGTTCAGATTTTATCAGTTACAGAGAAATTTCCAGAGCACCATCCTAAAAACTAATGTTCATGCTATCTTCAGCGCAAAGTTAATCCTTCGCAAACTTTGTGTGTATCCCCATTTACGCCTCTATAGGTCTTGGGGATGACGAGGCGTTCACACAGAGGCTGCAGCAGATTCAGGATCTTGTTTTACCATTAATGTTTTTTTCAGGGAGCAGGTACTTGTCACTAAGGTAAATTGAAACACAGGAAAAAATGGGCAGTTTTGGCCTATTGCCAAAACAGCAAAGCGCAGTGTAAACTGAGTACAATGCAACCAGCGCAATACTTTGCATTAATACTTTTTAGTTAGAGAAAGTCACTGAAGTCACAGTAATTTAGAAATTGAACTCCTTGGAAAAAAAAAATCTGTAGTTTCAGGGAGAAATGTCATCCCAAATCCTCTTCAGTTTATTTCTAGATAACTCTGTAGGAAGCAGTGATTTTAACTACTCTCAAACTTAAGGAAATTTTGTTTTGCATCCTCATGGCTGTTGTAACTGTCATTCCGGTAAACCTTTTCAGGCAAGTGTGGCTCTTTGGCTTTCAATTAAATATCTTTACGGTACTTACTTTACTTCCTCATGATCATGTGATTTGGCAGGAGTAAGCTCAAGGAGTGTTTCTTGGCTAATCTAAGTGAATAATTGGACCTCGCAGTCTCGGAGCTTGGAGTACTAGAGAATCTCCATCCTCGTCGTGTATGTCAAGACCTTCAGTGATGGCAGTGCCTGTTTAGCCTTAAAATGCTCAAAGCATACAGGTCGTATTGCCTGGGATCTGACAATCGAGTTTCTTTATGTTCAGTACTCTCATAGCTGTGACAAAAGACAGAAAAATTTATGGGAAACCTTTCGGCTTACAGCACATTCAACTCCACTTACGCTGATATTGTGAAAATAATAAATTCTAAAGCTTAGGAATGTATGAATTTAGTAAGATTAAACTTTTGGAAATACCTGCCTTTATTTCTTGAAGAGTACTGTTATATCACTTTTGCCTGTTAGCCTACTAACCGTTATTTATTTTGTTGGTCAATATTAAAATACTCTGCCTTATTTGCAACCTAGTGTACGGTTGAGGCATTGGAGAAAGCATGAAGCTGTGTGGTTTGTTACTCGTACTTTTTCCTTTCTTATTTTAATTTTTAACTATTTATTTAGAAATAAAGTTACAGTTTATTGTCGAATGTTGAGAATTTTGAAAAGACTTCCTAAAAGAGAAAGAGAAAAGGGGATGAGGTGACAGTTTGGGGGTGTGTGCAGAGTTGTCAGTTTGTTTTGCTGCCATTCATCCTTGCCAGTGGGGTATTTCCTTTGTTTTCTCAGAAAGGAAACAAGGTAGAAAAAGAGAGAAATTAACTAGCAAAACTGAATGCTAGGTACAGGTGTCATTACAGGATTCCTTTTTAGCTCCGCTCTCATCTGCGTGCGATAGCCTCACGGCCAGCCTGCCCTGCAGCCCCTCCTGCCGTTGAGGGCACGTGGGACAGCTGAGGCTACTTCCCCCTTCCCCTTTCCCGCAAGTTCTTTTGAGTTTACAATCCTGCTGTGTCCCTTACCATGTCCCTTCTAGGTTTAAAAGCTTCCTGCTCGTCTTAATATAAAAACTGTTAAAACACTTGAAAAGCAAAGTGTTCATTGTGCAGTGTATCTTATCAAACTCCTGATCTAGAGCTTATTCATAGCTTCATAGAAATCACCCATTAAATAAGTAATAGAAATAATTTTAATAATAAAAGAGATGTAAATAATAGCAATTTGGTGTTGAAGGACCTTTTTCCGAGCTTCATTTCCCCCTCCTACTCTCTTCTCCCTCAGTTTTGCAGCTTCTGAAGTCATTGGCAGGGAGGAATAGATTTGTATGAATCCCGAAAGAAGTAAAGACTCTGTAAGGAGTTGAAAGGTAGCAGGAATTTGCCTTTTATGGGAGTTAGGTAAATGTTTGGAGAAATACTGTGACATCAGTGATCCACAGGTAGACTTGTGTAGATGTTTTTATATTGGAAGAGGAATTTAGCAGTGCGAGTCTGTAAAATCAAGTACCATGATTGAGGTCTTGAGAGAAGGTCAGCTCTGAAACTGAATAAACAAATTTTTTAGGGGAAATTAAGTTTCGTATTGAGGAAATTCAAAACCTCCAGCCCAGAAGAGACCAACAACACCAATGCAATGCTGCTCTCATGGCCCCTGCTGGATTTTGTTCTCTATCAGTTGATGTAAGACTATCATCCAAATTACAACATTTGTGTAAGAGTTAGCGTACATATTTCCTTACGTTCACTGCTGCTTTCAGACTGTGGTGAATGAATACAGGATACAGAGTAACTAGAGAAATAAAATGCTCTCTAGCAGCCTTTTCTGAAGTCAACTACTTCCCTGGGGGAGTTCTGCACTCTAGGTAAATGTATTTCATTTGCAACATGATGCAGGTACTGTACTCTTTCACTATTGTTTATTTTGCACCCATCAGTAATATTATTTATAATGACATAAGGATTTTTTTCTCAATTTAGTTCTCTCTGATTTTTTTTTCATTGACCAGAACAGTATTGTAAGTAATACTTTAAAGGAGTTAGCTTTGATCAACAGCCCATTAACAGTGGGCTGTTGATATAATTCTCTGAAGCCAGTGGTAAGGGTTGGGAGTCATTCCCATGCAATAAGATTTCTAGCATGAACTATTATAATTACTTAATTAACTATGACCGCTGTGTATCATAATTGATATCTTTTGCTAGGACTAGTTTGAATAAGCAGGACGTGAGCCAATCATTCTTGACTGAACCAAGACCAAAATAACAGTCCACTACAATCTGGTATTTATTACATTACAGAACGCTTTATTGCAGACTCAGTTGTCTAAATGTAGTAAACTGGGGGAATGAACATGTAAAGTGGAATAATTCATCCTGTTCTAATTCTCAAGTGTCTTTTCCAAGTCTCAGGGAGACGGAATAGCCAATAAGTGCTGATGTATGCACTGAATTACTGTCAGTGTAAAGCAGGCCGGTTTCTCTATTGTAATACAAAATTACTCAAATATTCTATTCTCAGTCTGGCAATAGGTGACACAGTTGATGTTTCAGAACTCACGTATAAGCACAGAGCTCACCTATAAATAGGAGCTCTGTCAGCTCCAAAATAGTGTAAAAGTGTGCTTAACTACTTTTAAGTGTAGTTAGTGCAACCCAGTTTTAACACTAAATATTTGTAGCACTCGGTTGTATTTCTGTATCTTGTTTTACAGTTTATAATATGCAAGCTGTATGTGGAGTCACAGAAATCAAAGTTTAGAAATGTGAAATGGCTCGGCGTAACAGTCCTTATCCTGCCAGTTGAGTACCATCTCCTGCGTTGCATATTCTGATGCGTTTATTTTATTTTTCAATTTAAAAGCCTCAAATTAATAAGC